CTGGTACAAAATGGTTTGAGTTATATAAATAATTTTTGTATATTTATTTTTCATTATTAATTGTTTGTTCATGAATAAATTTTTATCAAAATTAAATTTTTTTCCCCAGACCTTTGACAACGTCTTTTATACAAGTTGGCGATTACTAGTGTGTGGGAAATGACACCTCCGTCTACACTATTGTAATGCCGGTCAGTCGTGATCTTAACTGCCGTCCCCTTAGCACCGATGCGGGCGTCAAAAACATTAACATCATATCAAAGGGAGACACTGAGCGGTCAGTCAGCCATTTAAGGCATGATAATTCCCGCTACATGTAACTGAAAAAATGTAATTCACATAATGTATTAACAGTATATACACTTATTGTCAGTACTATTCCACACACATTCTATAGAGTGAACATTCTATACAGTGTCCAAAAATGTATACCAACTGCTCGACCACTATATGGAAAGTTCACTGTATTATTATTTGACCAAAAGCTGACAAAAGACTAAATTTTATACGAGTTGGCGATTACAAGTGTGTGGGAAACGACACCTCCGTCTACACTATTGTAGTGCCGGTCAGTCGTGATCTTAACTGCCGTCCCCTTAGCACCGATGCGGGCGTCAAAAACATTAACATCATATCAAAGGGAGACACTGAGCGGTCAGTCAGCCATTTAAGGCATGATAATTCCCGCTACATGTAACTGAAAAAATGTAATTCACATAATGAATGGTTGATCACATGAATGCAATGCTATAAGCAATAGACGCGTGATTTGAAAATTGACCAGCACTCGAACTTCTCTGCCCATTTGCCGATTTTGACAATTTATTAAACATTAAACATAAAATTCTGCACATTTTTATACCAATATCAATAGGGCTGGCAATTTGCACCAAAGAGAATTTCCTCCTTAAATCAAAATATTTTTAATAAAGAATACACAAAAAATTATTACAACTAAAACAGTATTAATTGTTGAGTATTATAATTAAAGTTTATAACATTCAACATGTATGCTGTGATAATAAGTGGGAACTTCGGGTCCGTTTGGGTCCCATTTGTCGGCCAACTGGTCGTAGGCGTGAGGGTTAAGAGCAGTCGCGTCCGGACGTAACGCTATGTCAAACAATATGTTTCGCATGAATGCAAACAATGGGGAAGTTTTGTCCGCTATTTGACAATCGGGACCAAAATTCAGAGGACCGCTTGTGTCGGCTATAATAATAAGTAGAATATACTGAACATAATCTGTATTCAAGAGTTACAAAATTAGTGAGAGAAGGAGAGAGAGAGAGAGAGAGAGAGAGAGAGAGAGAGAGACATATAATTGATTTTATTATTTTAAATAAAAACAAGGTTCACACAGCGATGCTATACGTTAACCACAATTCGGGTATTGCTCAAAGGATAGATAGTATTTAGATATTGCGTTTAAGAATTGTATTTTCTAAATTTAATTTTTAAAGCATTGTTAAATGAATATCATTTTTCAAAATTTTTCATTGTTATATTATTTTATTGTTTGTATTTTGAAAATTTTCTAATGAGTTTAGCATTGTCCATAGAATAAGCATTAATCCCATAGACTTAACATTGCTATAGAGTCTATAGTATAGACATAGCACTGTCAATAGGATTAGCATTAGCTCTATAAACCTAAAATTACCCATAGACTTAGCATTAGTCCATTGACTTAGCATTACCCATGTTAAACCTTTGTTGTAGGCTTAAGCTGTAATCCCATAGAAACCCATGTTAAAGCATTTTCCCATAGATTTAACGCTAGTGCCATAGGATTAACATGAAGAAAAACTACCCTTTCCCTTCATATTTCTCTTTTCTATAGGAAATAATCTCCCCATAGAATTAACATTACCCATAGGATAACATTAGCCCATGTTAAGTCTATGGAAAAAGCTCCACAGGATTAGCATTACCCATGTTAAAGTATAGCCATAGACTTAAGCTGTAATTCCATGTTAAATCCCATAAAGTGGAAAGGGGGCGGAGGGGAGAGGGGTCGCCGAACGATCCTATAAACCACATTATTCATACTGAATTGTGGTTAAAAATAAATATCACCTAATGTTGGATACTGTAATAAACCCTACCTTTAATGGAGTATTCGTTGACACGGCTTTTGAGCAAACTGACATCAACCTTGGTCACATTTAAGCCATTGCCCGAACACGCCGTCTGTATTTCATCCAATTGTTGTAATTCACTCTTAGTCTGCAACTATAATGTAGTATATTTATTAAAACACTTTCACATAAAGTATTTAATTACTTACTTGTATATTGTATTGTTTGATTTGTTCGCTTGTCAACAACGACATGACATCCGGTGCGCGGTTATAATTGGCCACAAATTCCCCGTTTTTGGCCAATAATTTGCTCACGACATGCATTAGTCGGTTCTTATCGGAGATGAATTGTATGGCAAAGTTAGATACAATTAGCGATACCTTAGACTCCAATGCCTTCAATACAGGACTCAATGAATCCCAGGATTGGCTCAAGTCTTGGACCAAATACTGGACGGAGGGGAGAGGGGTCGCCGAACGATCCTATAAACCACATTATTCATACTGAATTGTGGTTAAAAATAAATNGTTTTGTTCGGCAAATGCTATCATATCTGGCGAGACGTCGACCCCAACGATGCGCTTGTGTTTCACCGATTGTGACAACTGGTCCGCTAAATACCCGGTCCCACACCCGAGGTCTACGATTATGTCGTATTCCCTGCACAACATATAAATATTAACAATAGTTATGAATTAAAATTATCGATTACAACAAATTTATTACTTATTTTGTAAAACAATCTCATTCACAAAATCGTGGGCACATTTTATTGGATAGGTTGTGGTCTCTTCATATTCAGCCGGCGATAAAATCATCTTTATTAATAAAAACCTTATACTGTTTGACAGTAAAAATATTTTTACAGTGAAAATTTACTTAGGTTGAAAAAGATTAAATATGATATATTCTTTTACAATGAAAATGTTTATATATGTGTATATGTGCAAAATTCGTTAATCATGATTGAAATAATATTATTTGATTAGTAACTGTAAAAACACTAACAATATTCTAAATTAAATATCATTGTCTGACATTAATACTAGCACAAAGTCAATTATTATAGTGTTTATTTAAAATTATTAAAAAAAGAAATCTGTTTTTCTGAATGCTTTACTAAATATTAAAAATAATTATAAATTACTACATATTTACAGTATATACTTGATTTTTTACCACATTAATGACCAACTCTTGGTTAACCAGAATAAAAATTCAGTTTAGTTGTAAATATAAATTAATTTTTTTATCATGAAATGCAGTGATTGGCAAAACACATTATAATGCATTATAACATGCATTATAATTATCAAAACAAAATCACTTTTTATCAAATGATATTTTCAAAGACTGAATAATATTAACAATTATTGTTAGAATAATAAAATAATGTTAAAAGAATTAAATGTAATTAATATATTAAAGTAAAAATATTGTAGGCCGTATTTTGCCAGTCATTGAATTTCATGATAAAACTGAATTTATATTATAGCAGAAACTGGTTTTTATAGTAATCCATAAAATATACATATATTTATAAAAATAACTCAAATAATAAAAATTAATTATAAAAATCAGACATTATTTAGTGAAAAGAGTCAAATGGTTAACCAAGAGTTGGTCACTGATGTGGTAAAAAATTAAATATATACTGTAAATGTGTAGTAATTTATAATTATTTTTAATTTTTAGTAAAGCATTCAGAAAAACAGATTTCTTTTTGCAATAATTTTAAATAAAGACTATTATAATTGACTTTGTGCTAGTTCAATGTCAGACAATGATATGTAATTCGGAATAATGTTAATGTTTTTACAATTACTAATCAAATAATATTATTTCAATCATAATTAATAACTTTTATACATATATATACATTTTAATTGTAAAAGAATATATTATATTCAACCTGTTACAACCTAAGTACATTTTTACTGTAAAAATATTGGTAGTGTCACACAGTATAAGTTTTTAATTAATAACGATGAATTTGTCACCGGCTGAATATGAAGAGACCACAATCTATCCAAAAAAATGTGCCAACGATTTAGTTAATGAGATTGTTTTACAAAATAAGTAATGAATATGTAGTAATTAATAATTTTAATTTATAATTATTGTTAATATTTATATGTCGTTAGAGAATACGACATAATCGTAGACCTCGGGTGTGGGACCGGGTATTTGGTAGACCTGTTGTCACAATCGGTG